AGGCTGGCAGCAAATGCAGCCTTTGTTTGCAAGATTTTAAAAACAAGCAATTGACTCTATCAAAAGGAGAGGCCGTGAGCCACCCCTGGGTATTTTCCCCCATGGTCTGTGGAATGCAATAGGCATGCCTGGTACACTGAATGAAGAGCTTATTCCAGGCCCCTGCTCCGCAGATATCTGCCCTGCCAGTGTGACACTACTCTCCAAGGACAAGGAGCCCCTGGCTGTCTAACCCACACTGTGTCTGGCAAGAGCAAATAGAGCCTCATGCAACCCCACTGGACAAATGTTGGAGTGCTGTAGGGAGTCCCCAACTTGCAAAGCTCAGGGCCTTGATAAGAAGCGGATCCCCTGCTCCGCCCACCTCCAACAGCAAGCGTACTGCCTATCCCTGTACACGCTCATGTAACAGAGGGTATGCCTGCCCCAAAGAATGTCATGTCTGAACATAGCTCTGAGCATCAATTTAAGCATTGTCATTGCATTATTTTTGGAAAGTGGAGGGAAGGAGGGTAGACTACAGCAGGAGACAGTCTACTGAATAATTAACCAACACTGCAACTTCAGTTGTGGGAGGCAGCGGTTCCATCCCTACTACCCTTTCCTGGGCTGTGGTTTTGCAAGGGAAGAAATCCACAGCACTGAGTGCCAAGGCTTGCATCTTTTTTTTTTCTTTTTTTGAGGAGGGGGGTAGAACCAGGGATTGAACTCAGACCCTTGTGCTTGCCAGGATATCTACTGAGCCATCTCCCCAGCCCCAAGGCTTGCATCTTGCTGAGGGCAAATTAAAGGAAGACATGGAGTCTGCCTTCTCCTTGTGGTGGGCGCCAGTGCAAAATTGCACGACCTTTCTGTCTGTGGAGCTGGGGATTGAACCCTGGCCCTTGTATCCAACTGTATCTGCATCCCTTTTTCATTTGGAGACTGCATTTCGCTAAGTTGTTCTGGCTGGACTGGAACTTGCAATTCTCCTGCATCATGCTGGGATTACATGCATGTGCCACCATGCCCGCTGACTTCTGTGATTATATATTCTAGTGTGCAGATACCAAATTTGTCAAGTGTCAGAAGGTATATCTGATGACCCCTAAGAAGACATATCTGATGATGATTCTTATAAAGGTTCGATATTTTCTTAGTGGTGAATAAGAAAGAGAAAGCCCAAAGTGCAGAGAGACAGGGGGTTCTCAGATTTGGGGCCTCTCTCTGGTGTCTCAGATGTACAAAGATAGCAGGAACACAGTTGCTGCTACTGAAAAGAGCAGTTGCCACAAAGTCAAAACGTACACATTTGTGAGCACTTTTTCTATTACCATTTAAAAATGTCAGTACCAGATCAGCGTACCCAGCCAGATACTAACAGGCTCCAGCAAAGAACATGTTCTCTTATTGTTGCCTAACATCAAGGCAACCATGAGATCAGATAGTGCACGTAAACTGAGAGTATTTTTGTCTTAAGCATATCTGAGAAGCAGCAAGCCCAGATTTTGAGATTATTTATTCATCAATTTCTTTCCCTGAGCGTTTTTACCCCAGGGTATATTTGGAGTAGAAAAGAAAATACACAGATAAGGGTAAGGGTTTGATTTCATACAACTCTGCACCCTTAGCTCTAAGTGTTTAGACCTGCCAAAGCACTGTCGCTTGTGGTAAGAAGCAGGAAAGCAAGTGTCCTTGCCGACCCCTTCTGTTCCTCCTCCGACCAGACCAGCACGTGTGTTCTGGGAGCCTCCTGTGGGGAGTGAAGGGCCGTTTCCATGGATACGCAGCCCCTCTTCCGCAGCTCCAGGACTCAGGTGGCCCCACGAGGGCCCGCCTCGAGGAGTATTGTGCTGGCTGGGCGGGCGCCCATCGATTGCGGTGCATCGACCCAGCCCAGCCCAGCCCTGTCTTCTGATCTCGGAGCCCATGGCCTCCAGACAGCCAGATTCCCTTTGTTAGGTGAGCCATGGCTTCCTCGCCCTCAACTGCAGAAAGCTGTGCTTTTGCATGTTGAGATTTCTTTTTTCTTTTTTTTATTCACAAAAAAAGAATTTATTTTCTTATCAGTGGGTTTTTTTAGGATGAATTATAAGTACCTTTGTTTGGGGGGGATTGGTGCACATAGAACACAGGAGAGGTGGTAGGAAACAGAGAGGCAGGCTTATCGGAGATTTTTTAAGCTAGGAGATCTGTATGTAAATCTAGGAATTTTTAAAAGCCTTAAGGTCTCTAACAATCAAGGAAATGAACACCAGAGCCGCTGGAAGAAGCACTAATACCACCGTGCCCTGCTGCCTTCCATGGTCCTTGGGCGCCACCTAGGGGTGTGCAGTTGAACGGCAGAAAGGCCGCGTCGCCAAGACGCCCTTTGCTTGCCTCCAGCCGCGCAGGGCTCAAAGATCCCCGCACAGGCGCACCTCGCAACGCAGAGCTGGGCCTCAGCCCCTTCTGACGCTCCCCTGGGACCCTGGAAATAAGACAGATTTAGAGAGAGAAAGACCTATTTCTCATCTCCCCCACACACAAAAAGTGAAAACTCTGAAAATGAACAAAATCTGTGACTTTTGTTTTTATAGTAAAAAAGGAGAGTTGAAACTCCTCTTTGCTTACCAGACAATAACGTGCTCGCTTCAACAGCAGGTACACTTACCAGGCAACAGATTAGATATTTGTAAAAGGCAGCTAAACATGTACATGAATGAAAGGGTTTTTTTTTAAATAGGTAATGAAATCTGATTTTTATTACATCGCATGAGTTACAAAAATGTGCTTTAACTTTGACATAAATCTGACAACAGTCTTAATCTCCACCAAAGGAAGACATGGAAAATGTCTATCTGTATAGAAAATGAGTGCCTTTTAGACAAATTTACACTAAATACTTAAATTAAGAAGAGTGTATGAATCATTTTCCTTGAGCAAAATAAAATAAAGCCACCAAATATGTCTTCCTGGCTAGCAGGAGCATGCGCATCTGCACAATTCAAAATGAACACCTGGTTAAGATGAGCATCTCTGGGGGCCTGCCCCTTAGCTCAGTTCTTTAAGTGGCTGCTTCAACAAAGCAGTCGGGCTCAGGTTGCTGTGGTTCGATCCCCACAACTCCAGCCAGCCAAACCTGCCCTGCAGGCATTTGGAGAAAAAAAAAAAAAAAAAAAAAAAAAAAAGATGAGCATCTCTGAGAATGAGGTTGCTCTCCACAAATTCTCTTCCCCTATGAGCATCCCAGGATCTCCCCGCTATCCACACCAGGGGTTCTTTGGAAAATCAGGTACTCAGCGGGCCAGGAGATGGCTCAGTACAATAAGCGTTTGCCTGGCAAGCACAAGGGCCTGAGTTCAATCCCCGGTTCCACCAAAAAAAAAAAAAAAATCAGGTACTCGACTTCAGTCAGTTACCTTCTTTTGAGAAAGTACTTACCAACTGGCTGGATGTCCCGACTGGATGGTACACAGATCCAGCACAAACACACAGCCATCACTTTATCAAAAATCAGGTCCACGGTCTGCTCTGAAGTTCCTGTTTTGAGATGTGGATTCTCTTTAAAAATGGCGACCACGCCTCACCTGCAAGCTCTTATTTTAAACATCCCAGCTCCTCATTCCTAGGGGAATCACAGTCACCCAGCAAAGATTCCTACCCTTCCCTTTCCTTCAGTTAGTTTTATTCTCCCATGGTATGGGCCATACATCAAACCCCAACCTTTAAGTTGTTATGAGAAGGAAAATACAGATTTCTGTACTCTAAAATCTGGAACCACAGTCCCTTCTCAGAGGTAAAGGAGAAATAGAAAATGCCAGAACACCGTAAAGCGTGTGCACACCCAAGCCTCAAAGTGCAGCATTCACAGCTGAAACGTATCCAATTTCCTGTGGTTTCCCGACACACTCATCTGATCTGGGTGGACTGTGCCCGCCTACCCTGAGCATCCACTACCCAGGGTAACCACGGAGGGGAGGGGACAGGGCCTTTGAAGGGCATATGTATGTAATATTGGAAGCATGTGACTTTAACCCCGCAAGATTTCAGACCCCCGTTGAGTAGGAATGTACGCAGAGCAGGGTTTGCCCAGCAGTACTAAGAGGCCATAGTGCTCATGATAGAACTTCATCCTTAGTACTTTGGGAGGGTTACAACTCTAATAGAAAGAGGAATTCTTTGTCATCTTTCATCCCTTAATTTTTATACTCAAAGTGACACAAAAGCAATGGTGTAGCTTAAAGTGGAGGTGTTTTGTAATCCGGGCTGCTTATTCTCAGGAAAGCATGTTTGAGAAGTTCTATGGAACACAATACTTTCAAAACTCTTCAGAGACAGTTTTCTCCCACTAGAGGCATGGAAAAGCCATACTTGCCGAGCAGATGGGTGTGCAGGCCGCTGATGCAGGTGTGTTCAGACCACTCCGTAACATCTGCCAGCTTGGCTGGGTGCATCCCAGGCTGTTTCCTACACTGTAATCCCAGTCATTGAACATGATAAAGATTTCAGAGTGGCACAGGTCTGTTGAAGTGTCTGAGACAGTCACTGACCTGCCTCCTGAAGTCCGGGTGTGTACTGGCGTCCCCCAGGCTGGCGCAAGCTGTAGGAGTCAGTGCAAGGGAGCCCTGACTATGACCAGGTTCTCAGTCACAACGCAGACCTACCATTGGCCTTGTCTGGAGTGTGGGTTGGTAGGATGGGAAGCCCCGGGGCTAGCTGGCCTCCTCTGACCTTAGAGCAGGAACAGGAGAAGGAGACTTGGGATGGGGGAAGGGAACACACACCCTGGAAACCACACCATCCTAGCGGCCGAGGAGGCATGTGGAGTCCTAGGCAGGCACAAACCGCACACTCCCGGAAGTGCCTTTGCACTTGGAAAGAAGGGCTGTGAGTAGGAAGTTTGGAGGTGGCCGTGGTGACACCTAGCTCATGTCCACATTTCCGTAGGGAGGCTGAGCAATAGAAGATAGATAAGATATCTGTTGTTGGAGGACTGGATTCCACTCACGGCAGCTATCTACTCTGCATTCTCCCTGCAGGTGCCCCACCCCTGGCTGTGACGGCTCAGGACACATCACCGGCAACTATGCTTCTCATCGGAGGTGCGTAGGACACATGCTCCTGCCAGTGCGCCCTCTCCCTGGGGGACAGTTCCAAACCTGGGCTCCAGAGCAAGCTCAGCTTGGCCACAGGGATAAAATTGTGGAGCTGCAGCCCTATCACTGTGAAGCAGGGCTATCCCCCCGCAGGGCTTACCCACCACCCCGTGGACACTGCCGTAGCAGTGCCTGTGGCTCCACAGGGAAACACTGCCAGCTCCCCAGCAGGCTGTTTTCCCAGGAGAAGAGGACACTTCTCTCTTGTGTTGTAAGATCCCTGAGAACTGTCTGCAGGATCAAGCATCCTTGTGCACTGAGAGCCGATCTTGTACACACTGAGGTTCATGCCAGAGCCCTGCAGTTATCATGAGCAGGGAGTCACAGAGCTGGGCACTACAGAAATGATGCATTTCCAAACTCTAGGCACTTTTGCCCAAAGAGGAGGGAAAGTCTAAATTACAGCAGAGAGACCAGGCGTGGAAATCACAAAGCGACCATACTCCTGCAGCCAGGGAAGTGTGCCCACGCCTGTCTAACATTAGAGGGTCAGTAGGAGGTGTAGCAAAATATTCTCCCACACACTGGGAAACATCGCAAGGTAGACTTGGGGCCACGGTGGCAGGGTCCTACAGGGGGACTTGGGCCATGCCAGCTCCCATCCTGACCGGCAGGGATATACAGCCATGAGAAATCACTAAGGGTGCCCTGAGGATGGGGACATAGTGGGACATGGTAGTGCCACTGCTGCCATCATCACTGTGATGAATGCCAGGACTGTCAGGCGCCAAGGTGGGGTTTGTATCATGGACTCGGTGGGCTTCTCACTCACCCGAAACTCTGCTGGACAGACAGGAGCCCAGGCAGGCCAGGGCCAGAAGAGGACAGTGTCAGCACTATGGCGAAACTACTACCTGAGGTTCAACGAGTATCAGAGCAGTCACACCCTACAACCCCAGGCCAACTCAGTGCACGGCTGTCACGAGATCCTCTGCCTGTGCCGTGGGCCATGCAATGACCAGATCTCATGGCTGTCAGGGTGGGTTACTCCCTGCTGGCCGAGCTGGATGCAAGACCGGACTCACATGGCACACGTCACACTGATCCAAATGTGCACAAAGCCCTTGTCTGTAAGAAGAACTAGCTGGTACGGCCACCCCAAGCACACGGCTCACCGGAGTCCCCCACGCCAGCCCAGATCCCTGTACCTGGGGGCGGCGCTGGCAAGCAGCGCCCCAGCCTCCGGATACATCCCTCTCATGTCCACTAGATGTTCCCAGACACAGGACAGGCATCACAGCTTGCAGGCAAGACCCATGAGGACATTCCAGAGGATTTCCAAGCTCAACAGACATTAAATATAAAAACTCAAGCACATTTTATGTTAGTCTTTATTTAACTTATCTTAGTAGTTTCTCCATGCTTGGATGCTCAAAGCTCCAGCATTTTGTATGTCTGTGTAACTGAAAGCATGCATTCCCTGGCTATCTCCTCTCCAAATGTCTGTTCATCTACTGTTCTATCTGGAGGAGACAGTTGACACCATTTGAATTTTGACATAATTTAGTTGAAACACATGTATCCATTCCATTTATAAATTTATGTATTAATACAGCACAAACTTGGGATTAAAATATAACGAGCTGAACCTGAAGCTGAGCAGATCTTTCCAGAGTTCACCAATGGAGTTGGAAAGAAAGTTTATGTTTTTGGCAAACCTGAGCTCAGCACACAGCCCTACACCAGCCTCAGCAAAGAGGAAGTGGGCCACATTGTGAGATCGTTTATTCTGATAACAACTTCCCTCGTGTGGAGGTTTAAATGCTGTCAAAAAGTTCATTAAGCAAAAGTTTGCATTCGGTTGGTTCTTATATAAATGAGCCAGGAAAGCAAGCCTGGGGGTCACAGTTAAGTAGGGCTGACCTCCGAATCAAGTCGGCGGCTGAGGACGGACAGAAGCCAACAGAACCCTGGATCTGGCTGGCCGCAGGCCTGTTCCTCTTCTGATGTCCACTTCCCAGAAACACGCAACCCTGCAAATTACACAGAAGACTTTTCTTAACTTGGCTTAATGATTCACTGCCTTTGCTCACAGCGGGGAGTCTGTCTGGGGTCGCAGGGGACCTCTGCATCCTGACTCGTCCACCTTCTGCTCCGAGAAGGACTGAGTCATCCACTTCTGACCTGGAGGACTCTGAGCCTCCCAGAGTGAGGGACGCACCAGGAGCCAGAGTGCTCAGACCAAAGCTGCACCTCCGAACGCCTGCCTGCCGGAAGTGGCCCCTGAAGACCGAGGGCTGGAGCCGGGAAGGTGCCCTCCTGGTCAGATCTGACGGCCGCGCCTTTGTGGCTCTAAGGTTGTTGAGTGCCCCAGCTGCTGATCTCTCCAGCACATGGAGCGTCTCCTGACACTCCCATGTGCTGCTCCTCCAACCCTGCCCAGGACTTCTATCATCCTTCTCTGGCAACTTCCAGGCACACAGGGACCGGCCCTCTCACGCACCTCCCGCAGGCTTACAAGGTCCTTCCTCTGAGACCCCAGGCCAGCTGTATCCCCTCAACACCCTAGTATCTTACCAAGCAACCATACCCCTCGAATAACACAAGACAAAGCTTACTGAGCACCCCCTCTGTAGGAATCACGGTGCCCTCTCTGGCGAGCACAGCTGACCACCTGCAGGGGGCTCCTGACCCTTTCCTGGAGAAGAAACAAGAGTGTGAGGATGTCACTCCCCCGTGCCATCGATTCCTGTGTCCTCTCTGGACCCTTCAGATCTTTTATAATATGCAACATCCACACCTCCAGCCACCATCTGCTACTCAGTTCCCTCATGTTTTGGGGATCCACAGAGGTACCCCAAAACCCTTCTCTGCTGTGAGTGGAGGTGTCTGGAGCCTCTAGCAGAGTCATCAATTTGAGGAGGAGGAGGAGGAGGAGAAAGAGAGAGGAGGAGGGAGGGAGGAGGAGAAGGAAGGAAGAAGAGGTGGCTGCAATGCCCAGCAGCTGTGCATTGTGCTCTCCGAGTGAAGCCTAGAGTTAAGGCGGAAGACAGTGCTCAGCCCAAGACGCTACTCCTGTGTGCTGGCCCAGAGCTCAGAGCCACCTTCACACCGGAAGTGGTGGGCGGTGTCCCTACTGGCAGCACAGTGGGGCCAGGAGACTCGGGGCTGCATTCCTTGGATTCCAATGTCGACCCTCAGGGCCCTGCCCACCTTCCCAGAGCCAGGCAGGCACCTCGTTCATCTCACGTTCATCTCACGTTCAGTGACACAGCCATGCCTAAGCCACTCTGAATGACCAATGCCACCTCCAGGTCACTCCAGAGGGTAGCCATAGTGTGGCTGACCTTCACATTCATGTGTTTTATTTTGTTTGGGGTTTGTTTGTTTATTCTGTTTTGTTTTGGTTTTATGTCATAGGGATTGTACCCCAGGCCTTCACGTTGAGCTCCATCCTCAGCCCATTTTCTATTTTGAAATAGTCTTTTTTTCTTTTTTTTTTTTTTTCTTTTTTTTTAGTACAGGTTCTACAGAGTCTACAGGCTCTTACTACATAAATTGGACTCACAGTGATTTTCATATTTTAGCCTCTAAAGCACTGGGATTATAGGCGTAACACCACACCCAGTCTCAATCGCTGTCTCAGTGCACCCCAGGGATGAGGCCAGTGCAGCATGCTGGGATCGAACCCCAGCTGCTGTGCTCTGCCTAAGCAGCCACTTTAGTCCACTGAGCTATCTGACTGGCCCTTGAGATAAAGTCTTGCTAAGTAGCTAAATAGCCCAAGCTAAGCTCAAACCTGAGATTCTCCTGCCTCAGCATCCCTCAATGCTGGGATGATAGCCTGGGCCAGCACAGCTGGTTTCATGTCCACTTTTTAGGCAAAAAAAGAGCTTTACGGTGCTGAATCAGTCTTCCTTTCATCTTCCTGACATTCTGGGGCTCAGCTGGAGAAAGTCCTCTCATTTTCATCAAGCATGAAAATCAGCAAGAAGCGAGCCATGGAGAACTTCCAGCCTGGGTGTTAAAATGTTGGTCAGGAAAACAAGCCCCAGAGTCCCTGGCTCTGTGTGGCCTGGATGCTGAGGGAGAGAAAGGTGGCCTGCTGTGCTGGGCATGGGCACAACCAGACACTGGGGGGAGACGTGGCCACCCCAGGTCCTTGCTCCTGTGCCCACACAGTGATACTTGCTGCAGCCACGTAGCTGTCCTGGCTCCCTGCAGTGCCCTGGGCTAGGACTTGGGCCCCAGGCACACACACACACATGGCTGCCTCTCCTGGCACAGCCACACAGAGGAGTGCCAGTGAGGACAGTGTGGGGTAGGGGACAGAGAAAAGGCGCAGGGATGATCAGGGCCATGTGGCACCAAAGTTCTGGGTACCACTCAGAAGTGAGGAGTCTGGGATCAGTGCTGACAGGGGCCTGCCCCAGACAAGAGACACCCACAGATGAGGAGGTGGCAGCTGGGGCCCTCCAAATACTAGAAAATGAAATGAACTCACTTGACCTCTGTCACCCTGCGCCCCTCACCCTCTTGGTGCATGAGAGAGAAACCTTTCCAAAATTGCAGGAGTTTGTTTCTGACTCACATCTCTCCTTCAGCCTTTCAGGGTGCCCGAGAGCAAAGAAGAGCGGGATCCGGATAGCACAGAGCAAAGAAGACAAAGAGGACCAGGAGCCCATCAGGTATGGGGGCCACAGATGCCCAGGTGTCTGGGCATCCACAAACATGGGAGAGAAACAGCCAACAGTCCCCAGGGCATCAGCTCGGGTCCCACAGACCAAAACCAAGAAGTCCCAGGGGCTGCCACAGACTGCTGCCCACATGACCAAAGTCACAGGAAACTTCCCCTTCCCCAGCACAATTCACTGGGGAGGAGATGGAGATAAACATAATAAATGGTGACCATCTTACCCCCTTACCACTCTGCCACTTGAACAGTCACTCAGTTACGCCCTGCCTCTCCTGGGGCAGTCTGGAGACGATGACCCTGCGGGGCTCCCACCCCATGCCAAATATCTGTCACACACTGGTGCCCACTGGCCCAGATCTCAAAAGCTCTGAAGAGTTGGGCGTGGTGGTGCATGCCTGTAATTCCAACACTCAGGAGGCTGAGGCAGGATTGCCCAAAGTTCAAGGCCAGTCTGGTAAGTTCAAGAATAGCCTGAATTACATAGTGAGACCGTGTCTGAAAAACTGAAAGAAGGAAAAATAGATTGTTCACTTCGGTAGCACTTATACCAAAAAGAGAATCTTGGTGAGTCTTCCTAAAATTTAAATCTTGATGTTTCTGAAGATAAATTTTACTTAAAACAAAAAATTTCATTAAAACATACATTACTAAGATAAAATGTAACAAAATAAATAAGAAACACAGACTGTAGAAGAGAAACTTTGCTGTTTAAGAAGAAATGGAAGCTGGGTACAGTGGCACACACCTGTAATCCCTGCATTGTGAGAGACAGGCAGGAGGATTCCACATTTGAGTCCATCTTGAGCAACTTAGTGAAACTCTGTCTCAAAATTAAATGTGCTAAGGACATAGTTCAGTACAAACGCCATGGCTTCAATTCCCAGGAATGTAAAAATAATTTTTTAAAGAGATGCATCTGGGGTCGTGGGAGGCTGTGGAATCGCCCCTCCTCCTTCCCGGAGGCAGCCTGGCCCCTGGAGTGTCAGCCCTCAGCACCCTGGACACAGAGGGCAGCCTGTCCTGGGTCCCCCACACCCCTGAATCCCAGGCGCCCTAGTGATCTTTGGTTCCCGGGTAGCCTGTGGTCCCGGAGGCCACAGCCAAACACTGATGAGCTTTAGCCCCAAGGGAGCACAGTCATAAAGCAGCACTATTATTGGCATGGCTGGTGGACTCCATACCCTCCAGCGGCTTTGCATTTCCCACCAGAAGACCCATGATTCTATCCAGAAGCAGCGTCCTCTATGGACACCACATGTCCCCCAGCCCACCACATGTTCCTGCTCCTTACAGTCACAGCGCCTCAAAGTGCAGGGTGCTGTCCCTGAGCTGCCCAGGATGGTCCAGCCGGAGTGAACTATCTCTCTGCACCACTAGGTGGCACCTCTGGGTGACTTTTCCCATCTCGTCCCCTTCTTCACACCAAGCTGCTCTGGCTGTATTGTGGAGGCCAGGGACACAAGTGCAGCTCGTCCCCTCTGTCTTGTCTCCACCAGGTGTCCTGTCCCCGGCTGTGACGGTCAAGGCCATATCACCGGGAAGTACGCGTCCCACCGCAGCGCCTCAGGGTGCCCGCTAGCCGCCAAGCGGCAGAAAGATGGGTACCTCAACGGCTCGCAGTTCTCCTGGAAGTCGGTGAAGACGGAAGGCATGTCCTGCCCCACACCGGGCTGTGACGGCTCAGGCCACGTCAGCGGCAGCTTCCTCACACACCGCAGGTGGGTGCCACTGCCGACACGCATCCGAAGGACAGGCAGCACGCTCCTGAGTCCCAGAACTCTCCGGGGGGATTTTCTTGCATAATCGCAGAAATTCCAGCTCCAGATCTGGGAGAAAATGCAAATGGCACAAAGCAGGATGTCCTTGTCCAGCCTTGATTACTTGACTTCTTTGCAAAGCTGGTGGCCCTGTCCTCTCAGGGACATTGTCCATTGGCTGCAAAGTGTCATTTACTCCCTTTCTATACAAACAGAGTGCTCTGTCCCTTGCCCCTCTGCTCAAGGATGGGGCTGTCTATGAGGGACACTGGGGGCCTCCCCCAGACACCCCAGGTGCCCTCAGGCTCCAATGCCACAGGGACCCTATGGTGCCTCTGCATTTGGAAGGTGTGGTGCAGCCAACGCTGCAGGAGGCTGTCCCCACGAAGGGACCCATGGTGTAAGCTATTGACAGCAGAAGCCAGAACAGCCTCACCTAAGTTTCCCTTCCCTCACAACTTTAGCTCTCAGAAAAATGCTTGTAAACTTTGAAAGTCCCATTTGGTCAGCACATGCGGAAGAGCGCATGTGTCTTCTTAGGAGCACAATCAGGGATGAAAGCCAGACTTCCCTGTTCCACACTCTGGCACCTGGGGACAGCGTCCCTCCAGCATGGGGTTTATCTGCTTGGTGTTAGGATGTAAATGCAGGGTGCTGGGGGTAGGGGTCCCTGCTATCCCCACCCCAGGTTTGTGTGTCAGGACTGGGTAGCAAGCTGGGATCTGGAGAATGCGGTCAGGACACTCCAGCTCGTGGCTCTGTGGGGAGGCTGGGGTGCTGCAGCTCTGGTCCTTGACATTCTGGGAGCAGCCTGTACACCCCAAGAGGAAAGGAAAGCTGCTGCAGGCTCTGCTGCTGACCAATCTCCCTGCCACCCTTTCTGCAAAGAAAGCCAAGAGCATAGGACATGTTCAGAAGAGTGATGAATGTGCCCATGGGATCGTGGGGCACAAGCCACACTCAGTAACAAAACCATGCCTCCAAGCTGGGGTTTGCAGGCAGTTTGCCACCCACTCTTCTCCACTGGTCTTTGCACTGGAACTCCCTGGTCCAGTCTTCAAGGCTCATTATACCCCATTTCAGGCCACAGAGATCCCCCCACCAGCTCTGGCAAGTCACTCTACCAAGCCCAGAGCCGTAGCAGGTGCTAGGGAGCCCAGAGGATCACAGGTCTTTTCTAGGAGACATGGGCAGGCGACACAGGTCCTCCATCTGCTGCATCCAGCCTTCGGGCAGGGGCTGAGAGGAGCTGGAAGAGCGGACACTTGCCCTACTTGAAGCCTCTGTCAGACTTCTCTGTGCCACCAGCCTCAGGTCATCAGGAAAGGAGACCACACAAGGGGTCCCAGGCACCAGCATGCAGGATGTCTGGATGCATGAAGGAGTCAGTGCCCCCCACGGGGGTGACACATGCATGCAGTGAGGGGTGTGGGTCTGAGTAGCACCCATCCTAACTTCTGATTGCCTCTACCGTTGTGCTAAACTACACATTCAGCAAAATTTACCACCTCGGTCATGTCCAGTGGATGGAGATGTTCCTGTCCTCTTAGTAGCCGATCCCTGTGCCCACCCTGGAGGCCACCACCACACTTGCCTTCTCCCTAAACCCACAGCCCCAAGAACATTGCATAGCTCCTGCAGCACAGGTCCTGCTGTGATCTGCTCACTTCACGCAGTGTGACGCCCCATGTACTTCGGTGGGGCCATCTGTGTCAGAATTTGTTTCCTCTTCAAGTCTGAGGAATATTCCCTTGTGCCTAGACCAGGGTTCTCTCTGTGATTTTACTCGGTGAGCAAAGTCACCCTTTCTGAAAATGGAATGATTTTAATCCTGGATGAGCACACAGCTAAGCACAGGAAAGAAAGCTTATTGGAGAGTATGTGTCACAGATGCCCATGGCCTTGCCTGGGCAGGGCAGGGCAGGGCGGTGGCAGGGAAGGGCTGGCTTCATGGGGACACCACGACCTTAGACCCAAGACAGACTGACTGTGAACTTGCCAAGAAGCAGGGACCATGCGTTGGAGCTGGAGTCGGGGTATGCTGATTTTATGCCTGAGAAAATCCCAGAGCCTTCAGGGACCCTGAGAGCCTTTTAAAGTCCTCCTGGTGATCTCAGCCTAAATCACTTCCTCCTGAGCCCCTGAACGTGAAGTCACCAGCCCAGCAACACAGAGGTGTAACCTCAAGCAGAGGGATTCCAGCGCCCAGTCTGCTGTCAGGAGGCTGTAGCCTGAGGGCGTGGCAGACAGAGGGAGGGAGACACCCTGTATCACCTTGGGTGCACCAGGCAGGTTCCCCAGGACAGGGTGCGCTGAGCCTAGAAGACGGAGGTAACCAAGGGCATCAAGTGTTGAGTTAGTGTTCTGGAAGCAGGGATAGAATATCTGAGAAATGAGGATGTGGATGTTGGAGGAAGAGGCTGCTGGGAACTTCAGCCCTGCATGGACAGCGGCTGCATGTCCAGGACATAGACAGAGACCTCAGCTGTCCTAACCGAGCCCCGCAGGCTTCGAGGAACACAGGCAGCTCCCAAGGCCGGACGTTCTGGCAGAGATGCCTCCTGGCCACCTTCTCACTGTATCCTCACCTGCTGGGGGCAGCAAGGGAGTTTACCTGAGAGTCCGCAGCACAGTGAATAGAAATGTCTAACCAGTAGCTGCAAAGGAGATGGTTGGGGAAGAGCCCTGGACAAGGTAACATCTGCCCACACCTGGCCCTTCAGCCCATGAGAGCCAGTGGGTAAGCAATGTGCAAGACACTAACGCCTGCTGAGGAGGTGGCGCTAAGAGTCCAGGGGCCAGGACACTGAGAGGAGGCTCAGCACAGGGCCTCCTAATGGAGCAGGCCAGGGCGGGGATTGTTGGAGCTGAGTATGGGACCCACACTCCCATCATCCCAGCAGTCTTGGAGACTGATACAGGAGGATCGCAAATTCAAGGCCAGACCCTATCTTAAAAAGTGAGGGTTGGAGATGTAGTTCAGCATAAAAAGCCTGGATTTAATCACTAGGACTGAAAAAGAAATTTGTCAGGCCCCAGAATGGGAAATGTCTAGGGCTTTGGGGGCTGGGGAGCTGTCAGGGCCCCCTGAGATAGGTCAGAGTTCGGGCAGGCAATGTCACAGAGGTCACAGCAGATGCAACAGATGTGTGAGGAGTCTCAGATTAGAGGGGAAGAGCAAAAAGGAACAACTAGGAAGGGCATAGGGAGCCAGAGAGGATAGGGGCGTGGAATGAAAATGTGTTCTGGTCTGAAGAACTCTGAGAAGGAAAAAAAGTAAAGAGGAGAGGGAGGAAGGCAGCACATAGAGCCCCAACTGCACAGTGGTCAGGCTTTTTATTTTGAGACAGCATCTCACTATGTCACTAAATTGCCCAGGCCAGGCTCTCAAACTTGCCATCCTCCCACCTCAGCCTCCCAGAGTGCTGGAGTGATGGCCTCACAGCACCATACCCAACAAGCAGGGCCGTGATGGAAGGAGGGAGAAGGCAGGTGGCGGGCAGGTGGCAGCGCCAGGTCCCGGCCACACCCCCTCTCAGTGTTTTTGTGTCTTCTTGCCTGCCCACCTCGAGGCTTGGGGAAAGGGGGGCTCCTTTCTCCAGCAGAGCAAGAGGGCAGGAATGGAAGTGGGAAGAGCTCTCCTGGGTCTGAACTGACTTGGGGGCCGCAGGTCACAGCCGCCTCCTCAGAGAGCGGACAACAGTGGATGGAAGTATGGGCAGAAGCCAAAAGCCAGACAGCAGCAACTGCACAGAAGGACTGGGAGAAAGAGACTTTCTATGTTCTTCTTTCTCTTCCTTTGTTTTTCTTTTTTCTGGGACTGGAGCCCAGGCCTTCGCACTGATCTATATCCCCAGCCTTTTTTAACTTTCTAAATTGCCCAGGCTGGACTCACACCCTCCTGCCTCAGCCTCCCAAGCAACTGGGATGACAAGCTTTGACCGCGATGCTCAACTTCATATTTTTCCCTCTGGAAGGGCTGGGGATTAAACTCAGGGCTTCCGGCATGCCAAGCAAGCACTGTGCCCTGAGCTACTTCCCCGGCCTGTGGGATTTCTGAAAGACAGAGCCTACTTCCTGTGCATGTGCACGGATGGCCTCTGTATCTCAGCCTCTCCACTTGGGCGTTCAACTACCTGGAGAGTGAAAGCACGCAGAGAGCACTGCATCTGAACTGAACACGCTCACGCCTTCTGTTCCTGCAGCCGGACAGCGTAACGACGGTGCGCACTGCATCCGCCTCCGCATCTGTGTTGTGCGTGACCTGAAGGTGACAGGATATGTGTCTGTGTGTGCGCGAGGCTCTGTGCACCTCCCCACAGGAGGGATATGAGCGTGTGTGGCCCCGAGGCCCAGTGGGGGTCGTGGACACCAAGGGATGACTGGGCATCAAACCCTCTTCCGCGGCTGTCTCTCCGGTTCTTATCGCATTTAGTAAACTTCTCAAGATTCTCTGGACTCGAAGCTCCCTGATTCCAATTCCAAGATCCAAACATGCCCGGAACAAAGTCATGCTTCTCGTGCAACCTTGACCAGCACTTGTGTTCTAAGTCACTTCGAGACCTCCGTCAGCCCTTTCCACCAACGTCCCATGACATCAGCTGTTGATGTTTGCTTCCTCCCCCGTGCCTATTAAATGAGGACACGGCCCGCTTTAGAATGTTTGTTTTACTTGATATTTCCTAAGGGATTGCAGCCAGGCTAAGTCATCGCATGGAGAGCTTCCTTTGTGAGCTGTTTTTATCAATCAGTGGATAAACTGGACCTGAGGTCAGGCTGGGGAGGCCCCGAGCACGGCCACAGCAGCTAACAAAGGACAGGGGACTGGGGACAGGAGAGGGGGATCTGCTATGCTTACAGTTTCCCAGGGCTGTTTCCCCCCGAAGCTCAGAGATGTACACAGGGGTAGTCCCGTGTGGGGTGGCAAGGACATGTCCTTATCCCAGGGGCTGTCACCAAGG